ATTCCCTCACATGACCAGCCTCTAAGCGATCGGCAAAGAACTTGTCGATCGCTGTGACCTGTTCACGATGCAGTAGCACTGCTTCATGACTCAGTATTTCGAACCGGGTTCTACTTCGATCTCATGCCGAGTGCCTTCGTTCTTGGGTAGCTAGCATGGCACGGATTCGGGAAAGTATCCTTGAATTTGACCAAATCGTTATACGAAGAATTCGTCTTCAAAGGCTCCCAAAAAAGAGACGTGTATCGCTTAATCCGTGTCTTCTCATCAAAAACAATATCTATCATCCATCGATGAGCTTCTGAGAACCCGTTCAATCTCAGCAAACACTTGTGCTGACCGAATATTGGCGACGTACTCTTCCTTTGTGACGATTTCGTAGATCTTCTTGATCTTGTCACTACGCAGATCTCGCAAGAATCTATTAGATTCTAGCGTTGGCAACTTGATTCCCTCCGAAGCTGACTTTGGAGGTGTGACCGGATCAAGTGTATAAGAGCCTAGATTCTTCAATCACCAAGACGTTCACTGTCTCAGTGCTTTCCTCGCAAAACATATCCGCAGGTAGGTGGGGAAACACGCCCTCAACATAACTCTCTCGGGAGTTATCACTCTTAGAACGCTGTAACCTTCTCCTAATACGTGTACTGACTGTGGGTGTCCCTACTACCACATTCACGTACTCTTCGTTCGATTCTCTTTCAGTCCATCGTGTTTGCTCTACGATCGACTCTTTTTTGGTTGATCTCGCTGTGACATGTTGTTCATCCTGAACAACACTCATCTCAGTTCTTGGATACACCTTTGTTGGTGTGCATCCGTGTTCCAGTCCACTCGATCTCTTCGATTGGTGAACCTTCGGCGCAGCCTGTGTCTCTACACAGGTACCGGAAGCTGGTTCGACAGTGTAGTGGCCTTCTAAACTGTGATCTTGTGCAATCGTACTATCGACCGTACCACAAGTGAGGCCATCGCACTCACTCGTAGTACATCCACACGCGTGTGGACGCTCCAAGACGTTCGATTGATTGCCATCTGATGAACGAACGGCAGGCATCTTCACGGATCGATGCTGCCAGCTGATCCATGGCTGGTACTTTCTAATCCATGGCAGACGGAGGAACATCAAATTTATCATCCAAATATTATACGATAAAGTCGTCGTCGCACTTCTTTCCCACTACACGTTTGTTCACTGCACAGGATGTGCCTATAGCAAGGCACACCTACGTACCCGTTAGAGGAATGTCTTGCTCAGCATAGTTGAGCCTAATATCCTCTAGCGACTGGTGTCTAATAAAACTATTGGACTCCCTACAGTCAACTAGGGCGCGAAGTGACATTCTACTTGTCACCTCGATCTTCATTGTGATGAGAGACTCCTCATCACTAGGAGCCGTAACACACAGTAACTGTGTGCTGGGAGCAATCTTCGTCAAGAGTCCTGCAAATTCTCTGGACGTTGCTGGATGAGCAGGATGCTCCGCCCTTACTGACCCTGACTGTTTATGGCGGTCCGACTTGCTGTCGCAGTTTAGAGACATGGTCGGACCCGCGCCTTGGACCCTGCATTGGCCAACAGTGGTCATCACGTCCTGTCTTTAAACGTGATGCGGTGCTTGGAACACTACACCCAGAAGCGTAGTGTTCGATCTTCTGAAAGCGATGGCATCTTGCCGTTCGCTTGTGACTCAGAGAGCGAGAGTTCTAGCTCTCGATGTAACAGAGGTCCAAAGGTTCGGGACCTCCGATTTCCTGTCGCCTCGTCGGACGATAGTTGGATGAGTAGTCTGAGACTTTCTCAGGCTGAAGTCTTCTTGTTCCGCATACGCTATCGCCTTTTCCAGCGTATGGAAGTTCTCTCGGAACATGTAGGTCTTCACCGGTGCATCTACAAGACCGTAGATGAACACGTTGATGAGCGTGTGCTCATCAACAGGTATTCCGTGACGCTACTCGCAAGGTAGCGAAAATGTACGCATTAGCTTGCACATCACGCTTACTTTGTTTAAACCTTGGGGGGGGCAGAGAGTGCTCTGGATTTGGCTTTTGAAAGGGCAAAGGTTACTTGCATCTCGTCAATATTGATGTTGAAGGCCCTGATGGCGTCGTCCAACTCGACGAACCATCTCGAAAGGGAATCTTCATCGTTTTATGTGTACCTTGAGATGTCTATGTTTTTTTTTTAAAAAAACGCATGTACGTCGGTCCGCGTATCGACTGATGAGAGCCTTGCTGTTGTAGCAAGGCTATCTTCTGTCTTTGGACTGCAAGTTTCGCGCGTAGAAACTTTCTGATATCAGCATGTTACTGATCTCTGTTTAAAGACTCCAACATGCCACTGATGGCGGGTTCGCCCATGAGCACACTCATGTGGCCGACTATCTCCCATTCTGAGTCACTCAGATGGGATTAGCCTTCACGTGTGACGTGAAAAGCTGTCGTCTTCTACGTCCAGCATGTTCATGTTGGATGGACACTAAGTAGCCGATGGACGGACTACGAAATGCTACCAGGTGGAGCTGGACACCCTTTGTTTGGGGTAAAGCGAAACTTCACGTACACTAGTGCGTACAGAGAAAGCTAATCTAAGCAAACAGCTCGTTCAAGTAAACGTACTATTAGAACTGTTTCCAATGTAGTTACGCTATCAATATAACTTCATTCTTTATCTAGCTCCATGAATCTACATTGTCGCTTGACGAAAACCAGCTCACCACTCAGTACGCGCGGCTAGACGCGCGTACTGATTATTTATCTTGGTTGATTTGTCTTTGATCGAACAATCTTCTGGCAACGCGTGGATTGTATCCATCTAGGATAATGTTCCTTCAATCGCATCCATCTCGGATAATATTGATAGGGATTGTCACGCTGGACAGTCTCCATATCGACACCAAATGGTGTTAATATCATGTACAGGACTACCCCGGTACGCACAGGCTTTACTCCGTTATACGTAAGAGGTCTCATTCACCCTCGCGTTCCATTTATGCTACCGCTTTGTGGCTCAGGGTTTGGTGAGGGAGAGGTTGCTGATCGGCTTGCAGATATCAGCCCTGCTACTGTCCAGAAACAGGTAGGCGTTTTTTCGCATCGCGATTGAATGTCCTGCGACAGGTGCGTGGCGCAATGGCTGATAGCCAAGATCCAAAAAAACAGTAAGCTGATGCCTGAGTCAGAATTTGTATTGAAAGTTGTAAGGTCGGAAACCAAGTATTTCTCAGAGCTAAAAACCTACCTACAAATGTAGTGTCTGCTGTCTTCAAGACAAAGTTGCGTCCATGCTTCATTGGACCGTTTACGGTGACTGCTAAGAAGAGCCCAGCGTTTACGCACAACCTTCCACGCAAATTGCGCACACACCCAGTGTTCTACGTAGGCTTACTTAAGCCGTACCGGTACTTTTCCCATGTGGACTTTGAGGCTCTGGCGCCGACGAAGAGGGCGGTGACCCGGTTTGCTGCAAGCGAATAAGCAAGTCCAACTGAACTTCGCTCTAAGTTTGAGCTCGCTCCATAGCCTGAAGGCGGCTCTGCATCGCATCAAGCATGCAATAGGTCTTCTTCAGGGTCTCTTGAAGACCCTTCACTTGGAGAACCAATTTCGCGTGGACTGCCACCGGAACACCGGCCACGACCGACGCTGGTCGATAGGCATGGGTGTCTTCAGTTTCTGATCCGGAGACTACTGAAACAACGTCGTCTTTATGGCCAATACCAGTATCTGGTAAAGTGGCGTGGGTACTCTGAGTCTGAGAACACATGGGCATACGAGGTACCCCTACGGCAAGGTTGAACTTATGCTTTGGATCTTTTTGAACATCGTGGCCAAGGTCATCTTGAGACCGAGGCCGTTTCCCGCCACCAGTGGTGTGGGTTGGCGAGTTGTTGATCATCGATTGACAAACACTCGCGGCTCTTGTATCAGCCGAAGCAAATCGTGTGAAATTTCGCAAGTGGCCTCTGGCCCTAAGCTTGGCATAGTCATTCCGGAGCTTGCGTTTGAGAGGCACATCAGCCACATTGGCAACAGCTCTCAGAGCAGACATACTGCTAAGGCGACGCATGCGGTGCACCCGGCAAACGAAGCCATTGTCTTCTTCACTCTTTGTTTAGCCTGCAAACAATAGAATGGTATACCCTTGATCGGTAGGACCGGTGCACCACGTGCTTGCATGTCAAGGCGTGCCTTGTATTGACCTTGGTTTGTTAAGTGAGGCTCCAGGTATCTCTCGCAAAGTGCCTGGACGCTCGCCACTCTTCAGAAGACTTGAACCTATGGTCAATGATCCATGTTGCCAACTATTGGCCGGCCGCTTGAAGTAAGCGTTCCTCCACACTGGGTGAAGTGAACACATAGTCACGTTGGGGCTCGAGGGTCGTGACCATTTCTGCATGGCGACGAGCGCTTTCTTCTTGTTGAATAATAAAGTGTTGCTGCTCATAGAGCTAGTTCGTGATGATTGTATCATCCAAACCGGGTGTTGAGTGCGGCGCCAATGGCGAATTCTCATCGTCACGTTCACGGAACGGACAGGGGGCAGTACGAGGTTGTACCTCAGCCATAGGGGTATCGTAAATTGTCCCTGCATCACCCGTGACACTGGCATTTCTACCATAGTCCAAAATCTCCCCTATTTTAGTATAATCACTAAAAATCTTTGACTCGTTAGGTGGTGAGGACATCGTGCTAAGCTTTACGTTACCCTAGGGTTAACCGCAAGTGCACTGACCTCGTGGGAAAACAACGTTCGATGGAAACGTTTGATTGGGACAAGGTTCGATTGACGTTTTGGGAGACGTCAGTATGGTTGCGGAGGGTGTTAAGGGGTTACACGTAGCTGGGTAATTGGTACCCTGTGTCTTAGACACACAGATGATATCCCACTGAAAGAGATGTAGAATATTCTATCGGTTTATAGGGTCTGACTGGTGTCAGCCACCAGATAAAGAGATCTTAGCTGTACTAACTTAGGATATAAGTTTCTGATAGGAATTAGATATTCTACAGGTGTAAATGTAAATAAATTCAGTTTTCCTGCTTATCTTAAAGACGCGTGCCTTGCGAGGCGTCTTTGGTCGTTGATTGCTGATCACTAAGAGTTAGCAACACTTCTGTGAGGTAGCTAGTAACTCTTGAGCATTATCTGCTGTTGATTCATTGAATCGTGTGGTGCCTGGAACAAGGACCATAAGCTACACGCTTGTTGACTCATTGAGTTTAAATCTTTGGAGCTAAGTTGCTCGTTGAGCATTAAGTCTTGCTTTGACTTAGGGAGCTGTGTAGCTCGGCTACAAATATCGTGACCAAAAAGAGACACAACTAGCACTGTAATAAGTTTTTAAAAAATTTTTTTTTTATCTAAGACGGCTAGAGCACCTGTGGTCTCTCAGCAAGTTGTAAAAGATCCCAAAAAGATTCGTTTTCTACGGCAAAATCGCGAGCGGCATGAGGTAGCACTTCCAACATGTTTTAAAAGCTTTAGCGATAGACGCACTCGTCGGGAGGCGCGTCCCGCATGGAGCTTGAAAAGATAAATCTAATCACGCGAGCATTGTGTCACTCTTGTAAGTTTCACACTATTTAGCAGTCGAAGACAATGGTCAATTAATGTCATTATGCATCTTCTCTTCATTCATGATGCGAGACAAATTGTTCTTGTACGTGGTATAAGAAGGGGCCGGTACGAACGCTGTGTTAATTCTACTTCTGTGAAAGTAAACTGAATCTGATAAAACTCAAATTACGCGTATCGACGTGACGTGACCACACGCAGTCAAAATCTTGCTCGATTATCTTCAAGCTTATGTGTATTCATTAGCGCAGGAAGCGTCAACTACCGAAATTATCCTCCGTATTTGCAGAACGAAATTGGGTCCAAGTAGTTCGTGGGTTTCTATCTTAAAGGGCTTGCTAACATCATCCTGGGCTACATTAAGGAGTAAGAAGTCGACGATCCCATGTATGATGAATGTTACATAAAGATTGCAAGATCACGATCCCATATATGATAGACGTTACATAGAGATTGCAAGATCTACCTAAAGGAAGAGCTTTGCAACCTTAGATTTTTATTTGCATCGTGTGATATATGGCTATTTCGACGACAAACGGGGTTTGTTTATACGCGAAATACAGGGTCACGCACAACAACTGCTTCAATCTGAATTCGCACTGGACTCGGAAGCTTGTTCATTATCCCGACTTCTTCAATCGTGGATCTTTTCTACTGGTGCTACTGGCGCTTCTTTTACCGATGCTACTAGTTTCGCTTCTCGTATTGATGCTAGTGCCGAAAGACCGCCGATCGTATGTGTTTGCGCGAAGAGTGCCACCATCATAATTTAGTACCTCTAATTAAGGAGAAGCGCGAAGCCTTCAACCCATAATGATGGCTAGACGGTACCTTACACAATTGTGCGCGCTTCTGCTTTACTCGTTATGCGCCAGCTTAGCCTAACATTGCGAATCGCGGTCGACACCATGACTATGAGTGAGGGTGTGAAGGCAGCCAGCTTGAAGAAAACAAGAGTGTATAAAAAAAGGAGGAAAGCACGATCAACAAGATGAGCCTGTAGTTGCTGATCCACTTTATCTGGATCGAACTTCTATCACTGATAAGATAAGGGAGCGCTCTCGGTAGCTCTCTCCTTGATATAAGCAATTCAGTTCGGAGAAGGAAATAAATATTTAAAAAGACTATACAATTGTAGCTACTGAAGAATGAGTATGATGCTATCAGTGTATGTATTTTACTCAGTACAATTAGCTAGGGCAGCGCGATCGGCCTTTACTTATAAGCGTCCAGTTCTAGCTTTTGTGACATTATTCACCTTTTCATCGATTTAAGCCAAACAGGTGCGTGCTTCACAATACTAGCCCCGTCATTGGATGACACCTATCATGTCAATTGACTATGAGGAGGTAAAGGCTAGATCGCATTTAAAACTAGCAATATACACCCAACCGCGTCATTTATAGACACACAGATAAGTACGACTTAACAGCTCTGCACAAAGCCTTGCGCAAACTTACTTATAGCTTCACTCTTTAGGCTCGCAAAGCTTAGAACTTAACGCTTATCATGTAGCACTCTAAACACATAACTCTACCTTTTACGTCGTCATTATCTTGTTTAGAGTATGCGTTAAAATTTTCTTTTAGTTTTAGCATTTCATCTTGTTACTGTTTCTTCTCGCAAATAATTGTTAACGCACTGCACGTCATTTATTACCTTCATTACACGTTGGTATGACTATGTATCGACATCCACCGTTTAAAATGGCATTTTTGACGTCTCTGCCTCTGTTCAGAAATCTTCACGTACGAGCGGTACTTCCCCTCTTACCGTCATGACATCTTTATTCGTATGTATCGATCGTCTCAGTTTTACAAATCACTTTTGACGTCTCTGTCTGTTGTCACGTACTATTATATTATCTACTCGGTACGTTCATCTTACCATGATACTATCTTGGCTTGAATTTTTTCTTAATCTCTAGAGATTTTGTGTGGCACTTTTGGATCCTCATTCTTTTCACAAATACGTAATTACACGCGGTACTCCCCCTCTGACCATCAGGACATCGTGATTCATGTATGGATTGATATCCTCAAGTAGGAGTGGTAATTTTTTGCGTGCATGCCTCTTGTCACAAATGTGAATAACGGCGTTGTACTCCATTTATAGCTTCCAGTTGGTACGCTTTTACTAAAAGTCAGGGCGCTTGATCAGCGATTCGTATCATAATTAATTTTAATATTCAATTTGCTCAAATTTCTCCCTCTCGCTTCAGCTAATCAACACTTTGCCCGTTTGTTAGCATGACTCGACGGGAATTGTAGACAAATGGTGGACAAAGGAGTAGGATGGGTCGACCAGGCGGCCCTCGATCGCGCGGACAGTAGGATAGCGATAATTGCTGATTACTGGAGGGGTGTCCTGCACCACGTTTGTCCTTTGAGCGGAAGCACAGTCTCATTCACACTGATCACAACAGCCGCGATGGGATGGATGTTGTACTGATTATTACGTACCCGCGTCACATTTTGCAGGTTAGGCGAAGGCTATACAATCAACGAAGATTATAGCAGCCACGTTTGATGGTTGTACTGATAAAGGCGTACCCTCTTTATACTTGAAGCCTTGAATAACATATCGATTAAACGGGTCGCACAGCATCCATGTCAGGATGTTGCACTGATGGGGGTGTATCACGTACCACGCTTAAGGCTTGAAAGGACGTACTCTACTGACGAGTCGCACAGCAACCACGATAGGATGTTGCACCGATGAAGGCGTCCCTCCTTCACGCTTGCCATCTCGGCGGACACATTCTGGTCAACAAGGATTGCCACAGCTCTGTCGGAATGTTGCACTTGTGGAGGCGTACATCGCTCCTCACTTGTCGTCGAAGCAGACGCACTGTCTATCCAACGGAGACTACAGCAGCAACGTTATCGTGTTGCACTGATAGATGCGTATTCTGCACCACGCATGTCGTCTAAGTAGACGCACACTCATATCAACGGGGACTTCAGCAGCCACGATGAGGATGTTCCACCGATGAAGGCGTCCCTCCTTCACGCTTGCCATCTCGGCGGACACATTCTGGTCAACGGGGATTGCTACAGCCCTGTCGGGATGTTGCACCGATAAAGGCGTACCGCGCACCACGCTTGTCGTCTAAGCAGAAGCACACTCTAACTAACGGGACTATCGCAGCCACGATGGTATGTTGCACCAATGAAGGCGTACCTCCTTCACACTTGCCATCTCGGCGGACACATTCTGGTGAACTGGGATTGCTACGGCCCTGTCGGGATGTTGCACTAGCGGAGGCGTACCCCGCACCATGCTTGGCGTCGAGGTAGACGCACACTAAATTCATGGGAGCTACTGCAGCCACGATGGGATGTTGCATCGATGAAGGCGTCCCTCCGTCACGCTTGCCATCTCGGCGGACACATTAGATTCGACATGGATCACCACAGTCCTGTCGGGAGGTTGCACTGATGAAGGCGTACCCCGCACCACACTTGTCGTCAAAGCGGATGCACACCCTGTCGAACAGAAAATACAGCAGCAAAGTTGTCGTGTTGTGCTGATAGAGGAATATCCTGCACCACTCATTTTGTAACGGCGTCACACTAGCCTTTGGCTGAATTGGTCAAAGACCTCCTCGAAATGACATGGAAGAATGTGTGTGACCTTGTATATTACATCAGCAAGAGAATATCGATTAGTCGATATTCCCAGGTTTTCGGTACTTAGCGTGTACGTGCTTTGTACCGTCATCATTTGATGACTGAATGATGTGGCAACCATCCATTTAGTTCGATTACTACTATTAGTATTTAGGATAATATAGGGTACAAAAAGTAGAATTTTCCTGATGTAAAATCTAAATTAAGTGCAGTTCTCATTTTGAGCAGAAGTCCCTAGACTCCCCCCCTTCGCACCTTGCATTTGACAGTTCCTTAGAACTGTCGTGGGTTAGATAGTCTTTAGACTCCGGTTTCCCCCTTGCGCACATTGAGCGTGTAGGTCCTTAGAACTATAGTAGTTGAGCTGTTAGCTCGTAGAGTTCACCCGAGTTCTGTAGAACTGGGTGACTCTTTAAATTGATGTATTAGTTCCGTAGAACTAATAGGCTGTCAGCCGTAAGCCGTTGGCTTGTTGAAAATAAGTCTCCCTCTGACTTAAAGGGCTGTGCAGCTCCGCCACACTTGGTAGCACTCGTAGTCAACCATACACCTGAGTCGTGTCGACTAAATCCCTGTGAGAGATGGAAGGCCTTGACTACTTTGAGCCTCAACATTTCGCGCTTGATAAGCTTAGATCGTCGATAGGTGTCGAGCAGGTCGACCACATTGAGCCTAAAGGCCCAGAAGTGCTTATTGCAAGTCTGATGCATTCATGCAGTTTGAGGCTACGCTGATAGGGCAGGTCCACGACCATTTAGCCTCAGCCATGCCTACACGGTTTTTTCCAGTATCCGACAGTGAATTAAAGACTCTTCCGCGCAGCCTTAGCGTTAAGACTTTCGAGGGAAAAGAGGGGAAAGGTTCCTCCTCTGGATCCGAGAAATCGATAAGGCTATTGAAGCCGCCTTGCGGCAATCGGAGCAACAGAAAGTTGGTCTAGCCATTTCTAAGCTCGGTGGTAGAGCCATAGTATTGGCTCTTGCCTGTGATACGTCGGTTAGCGCTGCGTTTCCCACATGGGATTCGGTCAAAAAAGAGAGGTCTCGGGTGTTCGCGCCACCGAATCAAGCGTATCGTGTTCGCTCTCGGATCATAGCCGCCAGGCAGGGAAACAGAGAACAATCGGACCTTTTCCAAGAGTTGCGATCTCTCATAGCTGCTATGCAGCTGGACCCTCTTCCAGAGCAAGTCCGTGTCACTTTTTTTATGGAGGGCGTTCGCACGGGGTTCGCGAGGACGGAAGCCTTCCGCATCCACCCCTCAACTTTGGAGGAGGATGTAGACATAGCGTTGAATGCTGAGTTCAGCTTAAAGCCGCTCGCTATGGCACTCATGGACATTCCCACAGACCATTTGATGGGGCTGAGCCCTTGGACCTCATCTATGCTGAAGAAGAAGAGAGAGATCTTTCGGACGTTGAACGGCAACGGTACGTCCGTAGATGTAACACATGCGGGAGCACCAAGCACGTGCGCCCCCAGTGCCTACTGAGGAAGCCGCGTCAAAGTCGGCCGAGCCACAATCCCTCTTTTAACCCGAAAGTAGGTACGGAGCGGAATAAAGGCAACTCTCAGTAGTCGCATGGCGTCCTACCGTGGAGGATCTAGGTTCTGCCGAATCTTTGTGTGGTAAAGATAGACAGGGCTTAGCCCCAAACGGTCTTGTGGAAGTTTCCACGAGACGTGAGTATAAGCCAGGCTTATCAGTGGCCTCGGATACAGTAAAGGCATAGAAGAGCCGCAATCAATATTAATTGACTCTGGAGCGTCAGGCAACTATGCTCTACGCCGGTCCCTGAGGGATGTCAGCAATATGCTGAGGCGCTGAAAGCGCACAAGGGTGATGTTATCACTGTTCACTCAGCGACAGGTACTCGTGTCACCGTACCTAAAGTTACGTTGAACTTCGGTGTGAAATTCTTTGAATTCGACAGTATCGAACGTTGTCTTGTCCTGGATTTGGAATCGAGATATGATCTCATACTTGGCACGGCCTGGCTTGAAGCTCATGAGCCAGGGGGTTGATTGGAGGTCGAAGGGCTTAGGCTCAACGCGCAACGTTCCTAGTGAAGCTTTGGAGAGTCATGAACCTACCTTTGCTAGACAACAAAAGAGCTATTGGCGCGCGCCATTGACGGAGTCTGTAAGTGTGCTTGACATTGGAGTGTCTGAGCTAGTTAACTCTAATGTCATTGACCATAGTCAAACAGTACGCATTCCGTTAAGTGACACTAGTAATGACAGTGTATCACTGAATGCTGGAAGAATTCGTGGCATAAGACCGATTCATCCTGGGTGTGATCCCTGTGATGCGAGTGTAGTGGCACGTAAAAATCCACAGAGTGAGGTAGGCCGTGAAAGCACCACAATATATGTCGGTAATGACATTGGCTCTCAGAGAGAGCAGGTCGAGGTTGAAGATAATCTTCACCTCGTGGAACCGAATGTTCCTAACACGTTAGAGTGTTCATTTTCTGTACAGAGACGACAGCGACGCCAGATGGCGGCTGTGGAAAGAAAGGCTTATTTCATGACGCCGAAGGGCACTAGTGAGCAGTTGTACACGTTAGTCAATGGGGTGTCGGTTGCGATTGATGGAGAAGTTGGCCTCGAGGCCCTCCCATCGATGAATGCCTTGCTAGAGCTAGACGAAATGTCTGTAGACGAAATTCATCAAGCCATAAAGGCTGGTGCTTTGTCCGATTTGGTGGTCCTTAGACCTGAGCTTGAGTTGAACTCGTTTACCTCTTGTAGATGCGACAGTCCTCAAGGACAAAAGCTGCACATAAAGCTTGCAGTGGATCTGCTATTTTGAAAGATCCTTCGGATCCCTTCTATCCTTTGGTAAAGGATTTTCAGGACGTGGTGTGTCATGATCCATTATCCACTCTACCTCTCGACAGAGCTGTGCGTCATGAAATTGACCTGGTCCCTGAAACCAAATATTGTGCTACACGTCGATATCCATTGCGTAAGGAACAGTGTGAGGTCATTTAAGATTTCTTTCGTGCAAAGCACGCGGCAGGCATGGTGCGGGAGAGCAGATCTCCACACTCGACACCGACATTTTGTTTCAGAAAGCCCAATGGTAAGTGACGTATTGTCCACGCTTACAATAAGCTCACTGCGGCCACTAGACCTGTGCATATACCTATTTCCATAAAGATGTTCTTCAGAACGCTATGGTGGGTTGCACCACGTTTAGCGCACTCGACTTAGTCGACGGCTATCACAAACTGCTCATGCAAGCGAGTGAAATCCCGCTTACAGCGGTTAGCGCGCCGAGTGGCATGCTTTGGTAGTGGCTTGTTATGCCTCAGGGACTTTCTAATGCCCACGCAACCTTTAATCGCCTTGTGGCGCAGTCGTTTCGCCCTCAAAGAGGATTTGCACAAAGCTTTTTAGTGACGTCGTTGTCCATAGCTGTGCAGAACAAGGAAGATCATATTTGGAAAATCACATTGACCATTTACGAGAAATGCTCGGGTGTATGTGCACCAACCAGTTGCCAGCAAATGCATCTGATTGCGTTTTTGGTGCTGAATAAATCCTTTTTAGGGTGCTTCGTTGGAAAGCGCTGCCTACGGGCAGATCCCGCTAAGGTAAATTCCATAGTGGAATGGCCTGTTCCGTCTCATCCAAAAGTCTTGCGTAAACGGCTTGGTTTAGCCAATTGCTTACACAAGTAGAGTGCAAACTATGCTGACATGGCACGGCCATGAACCAACCTATTCAAGAAGTATGCAGTTTGGTGTTGGGACGTAGTCCAGGCTCAAGCTTTTCAAGCTGTTAAGGAGAGTCTCCTTCATGCTCCAATGCTGGCTTTTCCTGACCCGGTGCAACCTTACACTGTAGTCTGTGATGCATCTGATTTCGCCATTGGCAGTGCATTGTTGCAAACAGATATCGATGGACATGAGCGCTTCATTGCGTATGAATCTCGCCATCTAAAATCTGCTGAAAAGAACTACAAAGTTCATGACAAGGAGTTGCCTGCAATGAAGTATTCTATTGTCGCTTTCAGAGTACATCTATTGGCTCCAAGCCGTTTGTAATCTACACGGATCATGCGTCGTTGCGCACTTGGTTCCAAGCCGTTTGTAATCTACGCGGATAATGCATCGTTGCGCACTGTAATCCAGTCACCTCATCTCTCGCAACGTAAGTCCCGTTAACTATCATTCTTCGCTAATTAGAACTTCGAGGTGAAGTATAAACCAGGGACGCAAAATGCTTTGGCCGATGCGTCATCACGCATGCCGGATTATGAGCTTGCCCATGCTACGACTCTGTCGTCTTATATCCCTGATTTAATTCGTGCAGCTTATGCCAAGGTTGGTCAGTGCGTCGCATTGTAACGCGCACTCGGTTGTGATGAGTCTAGAGACTCGGACATTAAATTGTCGGCACGCTCGCGTGCAGAGCAACAACGATTTCCTTTCGATCGTGGCCTCTTGTGCCACATCACGGATGCGGCGGATACTCCGCACATTGTCATACCTCATGACGAGGAACTGAAGTATTGCATCCTCTTTGAGGCGCATGATTCAGATTTGAGCGGATATCTCGGTCGAGAGAAGATCTATGGCTCGATCAGCCAACACTTTTAATGGTCCAAATTATTTAACTGGATGAGCATATTTATGCGTACGTGTGAAACGTGTCAACGGGTCAAACCCTCCGCATATGCGAATGCGCCTTTGTCGAGCTTGCCTATGCCCACGGGTTGTTGGGAATCCACCATTATGGACTTTGTGTTTGGTTAGACAACCGATTTGGACGGCAACACTGGTATAGTGGTTTTTGTTGACCGTTTGACTAAGATGACTCATTCAGCGTCTGTACCGGCTTCGATTGATGGTGAACGTACAGTACAGCTGTTTATCGATCGCGTGCTTCCTCAACACGGTTTGCCTGTGGCATTTGTTTCAGATCGTGATCCTAGCTTTACGGGGAAATTTTGGAATTCCATTTTCGAGGTGCTTGGCACCAGATTGAGAAATTTTCACCGCGGATCATCCGCAGACCGATGGTCAAACTGAACGCGTTAGTCGTGTCATTGGTAACATTTTGCGCAGCGTTTGCGCAGATACGCCTTTGCGTTGAAGCACTGTGCTTCCGGTGGTCGAATTTGCCATGAATAATTCGGTTCATTCCTTGATTGGCTACACCCCGTTCTATATTAACGGACTTACCCATCCGCGCGTCCCATTGACGCTACCACTCTGTGGTTCCGGGCTAGGTGGGGGAGGGATTGCCGATCGGCTTGCTTATGTCAGCCCTGCCACTGTTCAGATAGAGGTTGTTAGTTTCCTCGCATTGAGGTTTAATGTATTACGACATGTGAGAGATGCAAAAATTGATAGCAAATTTAAACAAATAGCGAAAGCAGAGGCCAAAGGCAGAAGTGTATTGAAAGTCATGAGGTCGGAGACCAAGTCTTGCTAAACGCTAAAAATAAACCTACAAATTTAGTGTCAGCTGCTTTTGAAACGAAGTTGCGTCAACGCTTTATTGGATCTTTTACGCTCGTGGCCAAGATGAGCCTTGCGTATACGCTCAACTTGCCAAGCAGATTGCGTACACATCCCGTTTTTTATTTCGGCCTGCTTAAGCCATACCGTGACCCGTCCCATGTTGACTTAAAGTCGCTTGAACTGCGTACATTGGCGATGCCACAGGATGTTGCATCCGAATTAAAAGGTGAAGATTAGCCTCGACACGATTCTGATGAGACTTCATCATCTGGAGACGGAAGCGATTGCATTCCAACGTCTCCGGACGAGATTGGGCTTTGCCCAGGGCGTTTCGAGACTGACCAAAAGTCTCACGGAGATCCTCCACTTTCTTCACTAACTCAGCATGGCTTTCAGTCGGTACTTCAACCGCCACCGGCATTTCTTGGAAAGAGAGGGAACTTACACTTCCTTGAGGAGCGGGTTCTTCAACGACCTCCTCGCCATGGTCACTACCAATATCTGGTGGAGTGGCGTGGGTACCTTGAGTCTAAAAACTCATGGGAGCATGAGGCTCCCCTTCGGCAATACTGCCCATACGCCGTGGACGTTTTTGAGCGCCACGGCCGAGCTCGTCTTGACGAGCGTCACGCTTCTCACTCTTCGTAGTGAGAGCGGGCGAGTTCGTGTCAAAAGATTGACGTGAACTCGCAGCTGCAGAGGCAGCCGAAGCATAGCGGGAGCGTGATACTCCCCGAGACGGCCTGTGGCATTTGATTTCATGAAGTCATTGTAAAGATTTCGCTTTAGAAGAACGTCTGCCGCAATGGCACTTTCACGTAGCGTTTGCATGCTACTGAGGCGTCGAACGCCATGCACCCAGCGGATGAACATATTGTCCATCGTAGTTACGTCCCCATCTTAAGACAAAATAGTGGATCTACCCCTAATTTGCGGAACCGGTGTTCCTTGGGCCTGCTTTTGCAGCTGTACTCTATATTGACTCAAAGTTATCACAGTAGGTTCCAAGTACCTCTCTCGAAGAGCCTTGCGGAATTCGAATTCAGTGGGCAATTTTGCCTTGGGGCCGGTGGCCTATGTTACCAAATTATGGCGTGACGCTTGACGAATGAGTTCTTCCACGCCAGGTAGAATGAACGTATGTTCACTGTGTCGTTGCAACGTTCTCTAAATTTCTGACTTGCGCTATGCGATTGCCGCTTAATAGAGCATGCGTTGCTGCTCCTTGTCAAGCGGGTTAGAGATGACGGATTTATCCGAGGGGCCCAAAGCTCCCAGTGCTGTTAAGCGCAGTCGCGGCACAATGTTCGGGGAACGGAATAGGTGCCGGATGGGGATTGTCCCCACGAATAGGTGTGCTGGGTTTGGATTGCCCCTCCCCCTCGACTTTGGTATCACTACCACCGTCAAAGTCCACGTCCTCGACATCAAAAATTTCGGCTAGAGCCTTATCTTCCAGGAGGCGCCCAGGTTGGTCCATGTGAGTGCGTTACTTTGTAACAAGTCTCATTGGGAGAATGAATCGAGTGACGCTTGTGGCAGCGTCAGTCTGGTGGGGGGGGTGTAACGGGGTCACACTAGCCTTTGGCTGAATTGGTCAAAGACCTCCTCGAAATGACATGGAAGAATGTGTGTGACCTTGTATATTACATCAGCAAGAGAATATCGATTAGTCGATATTCCCAGGTTTTCGGTACTTAGCGTGTACGTGCTTTGTACCGTCATCATTTGATGACTGAATGATGTGGCAACCATCCATTTAGTTCGATTACTACTATTAATATTTAGGATAATATAGGGTACAAACAGTAGGATTTTCCTGATGTAAAATCTAAATTAAGTGCAGTTCTCATTTTGAGCAGAAGTCCCTAGACCCCCCCCTTCGCACCTTGCATTTGACAGTTCCTTAGAACTGTCGTGGGTTAGATAGTCTTTAGACTCCGGTATCCCCCTTGCGCACATTGTGCGTGTCGGTCCTTAGAACTATAGTAGTTGAGCTGTTAGCTCGTAGAGTTCACCCGAGTTCTGTAGAACTGGGTGACTCTTTAAATTGACGTATTAGTTCCGTAGAACTAATAGGCTGTCAGCCGTAAGCCGTTGGCTTGTTAAAAATAAGTCTTCCTCTGACTTAGAGGGCTGTGTAGCTCCGCTACACATGACGTCTAAGTAGACGCACTATCATATCAACGGGGACTACTGCAGCCACAATGGGGATGTTGCACCGATGAAGGCGTCCCTCCGTCACGCTTGCCATCTCGGCGGACTCTTTCTAGTCAACAAATTTTTCTACAACCTTGTCGGGATGTTGCACTGATGGATGCGTACCACGCACCATGCTTGTCGTCTAAGCAGATGCACACTCTATCCATACCTTTTACCACAATTTTGAAGTGTAATTCTTGGAGTAGGGGGGGGAGGGAGTCGATCGAGCAAAACCCGTTTAGACTCTTTCCATCACGTGTCAACTCTAACGTTGTCGCGTATGATGGCGATGTCGAACAGGTCGACATCGATGAGGATGACTATCCAAATAATAGCGATAACGCTATGATTAAGTCAGATGAAGTTGATGATGATGCTGGCGTTTTCAGCATCGCCAACGACTGTTGCACCGAGAATGACGCCATCCTCGCCGATAAAAAGGAAGAGGAAAGGACTCTTTCTGCGGTTATCACAAGGCGAACTGGACAAAGCAACGCCGAGCAGAAGAAGGATTTCTGCTGGCTCGTGAAGCAGTGGTCCGTTTCGTCAGGATTCCATCGCTTACGCGGTGGACCGGCAGAAACGGAACGCTGACAAGAATGGAAGAGCAAACGTTTTCTCCTTTGACGAAGGCGACTTTGTCGTATTATTTACTGTAGATATACCTAAGAACGTAGGGACTTACGTGGGCAGCAGTAATCTACTGACAAAGTACATCGGTCCCTTTCGTGTGCTGCGCCGACAAGGCAACGCATACACGATCGAACTGCCTCGTAGGATGCGCACGCACCCTACGTTCTACGTACGGCGTCTCCTGCCGTACTGTCAGTACGAGCCCTCTTCTTTCGATGAAGATAGCCCCCACGTTAAACCTCCATCAGGATCTTGCGCCAGTGATCCAGAAGATCAGTCTAGATGCGTATGGAAGAGATCTCTCCGTTTAATCGAGAGATCTCCTTGCATGCATTCCCCAGTTACGCAACGATGGAGCATACATCGCGCTCGTCCTGCAGCTGCGTGACCGCATACTCAGCAAGGTTCTTTGCACGCTCGGTCTCGCGATCTTTGCGGTGATCCCGCAAGGAATCGGTCAGGGCGTAACGCGCGTTCCTCTCGTGCTCCAAATCCTCGCGCAATTCAACAATTGCGAGATCCATCTCGTGAGGATCGAGATGGTCAGCAGTATAACTTGTACTAGGTTTTTCTTCTTCTACACATCCTTTGGTGGAATCACACGATGGTCAAAGGTTCCTTGTGGGCCGTATCGTGAACCACCGCGACGTGGCAGGTTAAAGGACGAGTTACCTCGTCCAGTGGCGGGGGCATCCACCCTCTTGTGCAAGCTGGGAGCTCCGTGCTTAGCTGATGATCAATGTGGCCGGTCTCTTCGAGCATTACGACGAGACGCACCCTTTGATGACGGAGGGCCATCGTCGTACGACGATCGCCGCGTTCGCAAAGGAATGGCAAATTCTCAATGTCATTGTGCATCTCAGACGAGATGAGCGCCCTTCAGTAGGGCTGATTAGGGAGGTACGCCCCCCTAGGGGTGTGGAATGAGGTTTCAACACAACTCAGACACTTCTCTCCAACGAGAGGCAAGGTAAACCTGCCTCTAGAGATAATCCGTACAGCTTGTATTGAGGACCGGTTTGCGATTTCTGTTTTATCTTGCTGCTGCGAGCAGCATAAAATTTGTTGATCCAGGCTTCACGACCAACATTATTGATGTTGGAGGAAAAAAGCGTTCCACGGCTGCGCTGACAAGAGCTTGTCCCCTGTTTAATTAAAGTGTAACCATCGATGTCTGAAGAAGACATCACTGTAATGCTCTTGCTCGAAACGATAAATTTTCGCTTTAATCCCAAGACCATGGATTCTTGAAAAATTAAAGAGTTGGAGGAGGCGATTCTTATTGGTACATACATATAACTCATGGAGATTACTCCGGGGAGGCAAACGTGGCCTGGTCTCAGGAGCAGATCGTAACTCATCACGATCTTTCTCCTCTCGCATGGTGGCTTTGTGGACACTACGATCGCCGCAATTACTAGAATTGAAACGGCTACGATGACTCCGCGAGGATTTATTGACATCAACACGACGATTTGCATTAAAGTGCTTATTGCTCGCACCAAACGAATGCGATCTGCTCGATCTCGGTGTCGAGTCCATGGAATTTTTGGATAAGGCGAACATCTCACGACGTAGCTCGGGATCGATACTGCCACCTCGTCGGGCAGTCGTCATTTCTGCACCCACAGCCTCTGTGACGGGGCTAAAAAAAACCCGTACTTAGCTTACACGATCGATGCTTAGGAGGCCTTGAACCCAAGTTCTAGGAATCAAGTATGTAATACTCGGTTTATTCTGTTTGTCTATCATAATTCTAAGTGCAAATGATTCTCATGGATTCACGAGAACCGCTCAATCTATGTGTCGATATGTTACTGGCTGATAATGGGTCAAGCCCATTAAACCAGCTACAAATATGCGACTTGCGACATTCCCCCCACTTTGGATGTAGCCACCCTACTAAAGTAACATGTAAACTTAATCGAGACTACTTAAGACCGGAATGCCTCATTTCATCACCCCCTTCTCAAGACAGCACTAACGCACCCTGAGTGCTCAACTGCAAGACCCCCAACGGCCGCTCAACCCAAACGATGACCGAAGACGCAAACGCTAACACCACAGAGATCCCGCGCGTCATCAGAGTGATTTTAAACGACCACGTGGTGGATCAGTACTGATACCTTGGGCGCTGTACGAATTGTCCGAAGCGCAAGATCCGGACTTTCTCGAAACTAGGCAGGATTACTCCCGGTGCTTTTGCAGATTACGCAGGAAGAGAGTTGAAGTCATCTTGCACAACTCGATCCAGCGTTCTTGGTACACATTCATCCGGCGGTGGAACTGGATGCTTGTAGACGGAAGGAACTTTCAGAAGTGGCTTGCCAATTGCGAAGATATCTACGCTGAGCACTAAATCGGTGTGCTTTACGAGAAGGTACGTAAGAACGCGTGGAACGTAGACCATCTCTACTACGTTCGCGGGCACGAATCTTTTTACTCCTGTGACTCGATGCCTCATCTAACCCGCGAGACTTGGAAACGACACGTTGCTGATTATCCACTCAGCGAATGTGAACAGCTCTGGATCCGACGGTATGAGCGCAGCTTGATAAAGATAGAACGCGGTTAATCGTGGTGCGTCAAGCTGATGACAACGCTCGCGTTCTCAAAGATGTGGTGCCACACGCTCGCCACGACGTTCTTGTCGTCGCTCTTTATCTCGTCATCATGTTGACGTTTCACCACGACATTTTGTCGTAGCTCTTTGTCTCGTAGTCGTGGTGACGCTTCACCACAACATTGTCGTCGTTCAACTTGTTCTCACCGCGAGAACAATTACGTCGTCGGCCAAATCTGGTTTGAGAGCATGAACTGACTCGTACGCCCGAACGCCATCTGAATCGTCTTGAAGAAGCGAGGATCTCGGTTCCCACGTATCCTGCTCGGGTGCAAGCCCGATCCAACATACAAGTTCCTTACGCGCTGTCGGAACAGCGCGCGCATAAAGTCGAGATGATGTCATTTTGCTACGAGGATCCTCGTGGCCCAGTAAACGCTCCAAGATACATCGTTTCTGACGTTCCGCATTCACAAGCGGCGGCAGGCCTTCGCTCTGGTAGCGCTGGCGTCCTGGTTGCCCAGGACGATGTAAACGCGACAGTGAATAGGGCTGTCGATGCCCAACTGTAAGCTGAAATTGCCCTTGATCGTGCTGCGCGGGCTACGGTAACAGCGAGTGAGGTTCGACAGTCGAAGCGCGAGCTGCTTGTACGGAGGCGGAATTTGGAACGTCAAGTTCATCGAAACGCGCAGACTGAAACGCAGCCGCGTCCGATGTCGCTGGCGCGTCGAGCAAGGCGAGAGGTAAGGTCGACCTATGATCCTTTGCCTCCGCGTTCGGAGCCAACCCGTAACGCCTATCTGGACGATACTCCGTGAGCCGCCATACGTTAACGTCGGGTGAAATTGCAGCGCCGAAGGTATGTCCGGCGTGAGGGCATCGCCGATTGCCTCAAGTACTGTAAATGGGCCGATGAAACGTGGTTCGAGTTTAGTCGCGCCGATATTGTTTACCGCTCAGTCTCATAGGTCTCCAGTAGATTGCAATACACGATCACTCTTCTTTAGTGTAGTCAGGTTATTTCTGCCACGTTTGTCTGCATTCGCTTTCTGTTCGTGCACTGCAGATCTCAGGTTATCGCGTACAAACCTCGTAATGGATTGACGTTGGAGTATAAACTCCGACACAGCCATGTCATCAATTGATCGCGTCGACTCAATCGGTGCGTAGCTGGCTTGAGGTGTTCGTTTACCCGAAAAAGGGTCAATCAGTGTGTGTGCGTCCATTGAGCTAGCAGGGACGCTATGTCACGTGGCGTCAAAACAGAAGGCTTCGATTTGGACTGAGTGACAGCATTCGCGCTCAGAATATCTTGAGCTACACTCGATCGTTGTTTTTCACTTATATCCCCTATCAGAGTGGAGCCACGAAGTATCGTGGGATGAATCACGGCAAGAAGAGGAGGTACACGAGGACGACGAGCCGACTTTGCATCAAATGGCGTCGACCGCGTCGACGTGTGATCAGCGTTGTTGAATGTGCGAGCTCCGCGCGTGGCAAATATTCACTTAAAATTGTGAAGGAAATTACTTAACTTCAAAGAACATCTTCGAGTACCCGGTTAACCCGCTCAGCTTGATTATCCGTTTACAGATGGGCTGCTGTCAGCATTTGTAGACAGCTCCTTAAGTCAAAGCAAGACTTAACGCTTAACGAGCAACTAAGTTCTAAAGATTTAGACTTATTGAGTCAACAAGCGTGTAGCTTATGGTCCTTGTTCCAGGCACCACACGATTCAATGAATCAACAGCAGAAAATGCTCAAGAGCAACTAGCTACCTCACAGAAGTGCTGCTTATTCGTAGTGATCAGCAATCAACGACCAAAGACGCCTCGCAAGGCACGCGTCTTTAAGATAAGCAGGAGAACTGAATTTATTTACATTTACACCTGTAGAATATCTTAATCCTATCAGACACTTAAATCCTAAGTTAGCACAACTAAGATCTCTTTATCTGGTGGCTGACACCAGTCAGCCCCTATAAACCGATAGAATATTCTACATCTCTTTCAGTGGGATATCATCTGTGTGTCTAAGACACAGGGTACCAATTACCCAGCTACGTGTAACCCCTTAACACCCTCCGCAACCATACTGACGTCTCCCAAAACGTCAATCGAACCTTGTCCCAATCAAACGTTTCCATCGAACGTTGTTTTCCCACGAGGTCAGTGCACTTGCGGTTAACCCTAGGGTAACGTAAAGCTTAGCACGATGTCCTCACCACCTAACGAGTCAAAGATTCTTAGTGATTATACTAAAATAGGGGAGATTTTGGACTATGGTAGAAATGCCAGTGTCACGGGTGATGCAGGGACAATTTACGATACCCCTATGTCTGAGGTACAACCTCGTACTGCCCCCTGTCCGTTCCGTGAACGTGACGATGAGAATTCGCCATTGGCGCCGCACTCAACACCCGGTTTGGATGATACAATCATCACGAACTAGCTCTATGAGCAGCAACACTTTATTATTCAACAAGAAGAAAGCGCTCGTCGCCATGCAGAAATGGTCACGACCCTCGAGCCCCAACGTGACTATGTGTTCACTTCACCCAGTGTGGAGGAACGCTTACTTCAAGCGGCCGGCCAATAGTTGGCAACATGGATCATTGACCATAGGTTCAAGTCTTCTGAAGAGTGGCGAGCGTCCAGGCACTTTGCGAGAGATACCTGGAGCCTCACTTAACAAACCAAGGTCAATACAAGGCACGCCTTGACATGCAAGCACGTGGTGCACCGGTCCTACCGATCAAGGGTATACCATTCTATTGTTTGCAGGCTAAACAAAGAGTGAAGAAGACAATGGCTTCGTTTGCCGGGTGCACCGCATGCGTCGCCTTAGCAGTATGTCTGCTCTGAGAGCTGTTGCCAATGTGGCTGATGTGCCTCTCAAACACAAGCTCCGGAATGACTATGCCAAGCTTAGGGCCAGAGGCCACTTGCGTAATTTCACACGATTTGCTTCAGCTGATATAATCCCTGGTTCGAATCCGGGCACGCGCACTCTTATGTAGTTAGACTGGCACACGCTTTGCTTGTTGGGTTGGTGGTTCAACTGCCCTGCCAATCTTTTGTGCTACTACTAGCACGGTGTCCGTACATGCTATCGTGCCATAGATAGTATCCACCACGACCTGGCCCGAGGCTCCGAATACGGATACCCTTTCTCTCGCATGGGATAGCGTAATGACGCTCTTGTTGGTCAATCGATGAACACCAACCCGCCAACCCACACCACTGGTGGCGGGAAACGGCCTCGGTCTCAAGATGACCTTGGCCACGATGTTCAAAAAGATCCAAAGCATAAGTTCAACCTTGCCGTAGGGGTACCTCGTATGCCCATGTGTTCTCAGACTCAGAGTACCCACGCCACTTTACCAGATACTGGTATTGGCCATAAAGACGACGTTGTTTCAGTAGTCTCCGGATCAGAAACTGAAGACACCCATGCCTATCGACCAGCGTCGGTCGTGGCCGGTGTTCCGGTGGCAGTCCACGCGAAATTGGTTCTCCAAGTGAAGGGTCTTCAAGAGACCCTGAAGAAGACCTATTGCATGCTTGATGCGATGCAGAGCCGCCTTCAGGCTATGGAGCGAGCTCAAACTTAGAGCGAAGTTCAGTTGGACTTGCTTATTCGCTTGCAGCAATCCGGGGCACCGCCCTCTTCGTCGGCGCCAGAGCCTCAAAGTCCACATGGGAAAAGTACCGGTACGGCTTAAGTAAGCCTACGTAGAACACTGGGTGTGTGCGCAATTTGCGTGGAAGGTTGAGCGTAAACGCTGGGCTCTTCTTAGCAGTCACCGTAAACGGTCCAATGAAGCATGGACGCAACTTTGTCTTGAAGACAGCAGACACTACATTTGTAGGTAGGTTTTTAGCTCTGAGAAATACTTGGTTTCCGACCTTACAACTTTCAATACAAATTCTGACTCAGGCATCAGCTTACTGTTTTTTTTGGATCTTGGCTATCAGCCATTGCGCCACGCACCTGTCGCAGGACATTCAATCGCGATGCGAAAAAACGCCTACCTGTTTCTGGACAGTAGCAGGGCTGATATCAGCAAGCCGATCAGCAACCTCTCCCTCACCAAACCCTGAGCCACAAAGCGGTAGCATAAATGGAACGCGAGGGTGAATGAGACCTCTTACGTATAACGGAGTAAAGCCTGTGCGTACCGGGGTAGTCCTGTACATGATATTAACACCATTTGGTGTCGATATGGAGACTGTCCAGCGTGACAATCCCTATCAATATTATCCGAGATGGATGCGATTGAAGGAACATTATCCTAGATGGATACAATCCACGCGCTGCCAGAAGATTGTTTGATCAAAGACAAATCAACCAAGATAAATAATCAGTACGCGCGTCTAGCCGCGCGTACTGAGTGGTGAGCTGGTTGTCGTCAAGCGACAATGTAGATTCATGGAGCTAGATAAAGAATGAAGTTATATTGATAGCGTAACTACATTGGAAACAGTTCTAATAGTACGTTTACTTGAACGAGCTGTTTGCTTAGATTAGCTTTCTCTGTACGCACTAGTGTACGTGAAGTTTCGCTTTACCCCAAACAAAGGGTGTCCAGCTCCACCTGGTAGCATTTCGTAGTCCGTCCATCGGCTACTTAGTGTCCATCCAACATGAACATGCTGGACGTAGAAGACGACAGCTTTTCACGTCACACGTGAAGGCTAATCCCATCTGAGTGACTCAGAATGGGAGATAGTCGGCCACATGAGTGTGCTCATGGGCGAACCCGCCATCAGTGGCATGTTGGAGTCTTTAAACAGAGATCAGTAACATGCTGATATCAGAAAGTTTCTACGCGCGAAACTTGCAGTCCAAAGACAGAAGATAGCCTTGCTACAACAGCAAGGCTCTCATCAGTCGATACGCGGACCGACGTACATGCGTTTTTTTAAAAAAAAAACATAGACATCTCAAGGTACACATAAAACGATGAAGATTCCCTTTCGAGATGGTTCGTCGAGTTGGACGACGCCATCAGGGCCTTCAACATCAATATTGACGAGATGCAAGTAACCTTTGCCCTTTCAAAAGCCAAATCCAGAGCACTCTCTGCCCCCCCCCAAGGTTTAAACAAAGTAAGCGTGATGTGCAAGCTAATGCGTACATTTTCGCTACCTTGCGAGTAGCGTCACGGAATACCTGTTGATGAGCACACGCTCATCAACGTGTTCATCTACGGTCTTGTAGATGCACCGGTGAAGACCTACATGTTCCGAGAGAACTTCCATACGCTGGAAAAGGCGATAGCGTATGCGGAACAAGAAGACTTCAGCCTGAGAAAGTCTCAGACTACTCATCCAACTATCGTCCGACGAGGCGACAGGAAATCGGAGGTCCCGAACCTTTGGACCTCTGTTACATCGAGAGCTAGAACTCTTGCTCTCTGAGTCACAAGCGAACGGCAAGATGCCATCGCTTTCAGAAGATCGAACACTACGCTTCTGGGTGTAGTGTTCCAAGCACCGCATCACGTTTAAAGACAGGACGTGATGACCACTGTTGACCAATGCACGGTCCAAGGCGCGGGTCCGACCATGTCTCTAAACTGCGACAGCAAGTCGGACCGCCATAAACAGTCAGGGTCAGTGAGGGCGGAGCATCCTGCTCATCCAGCAACGTCCAGAGAATTTGCAGGACTCTTGAC